GTTTCAAGCACCAGCTCACCGACCTGGTTCCCGGGGCCTGGCCCAGTGGGCGGCCTTCCTCCTCTCTCTCCTCTCGTCATGTAGGTCTACCCTGGTCCTTAGCACTCCCAGTCCCGATGCTAGAATCCTGACCCTTCCTGCAGAGTCCAAGGCTCGAGGCTAAGAACATTCTGACACGGTGCTGGGTCCCGGGTCACTTTTGGAGAGACACCCCTCTCCCCACATCTGACCACGCCTTCTTCGGACCATCCCCACCCCGCCCAGCCCTCCCCCGCGTCTGGGTGCGCTGTCCAGCCACGGGCCCCTCTCTTTCCCTCTCTCAAGTCTCAGTTGCCGGGTCTGTAAAATGGGTTTCTGCCTACCAGGCCGGCCGGCCCAGAAGTTTCCCCAGGAATCCACCGAGGAGAAAGGCTGAGACAGGGCTTCCAGAGGGCCGAGCCCTGTCATCTACCAGCTCTGTGTGTCCCCTCACTCACTGTGCCGGTCTCCCCCGCAGCCCCTGGCCCGGCACCCTTCACCGTCCACTTTCTGCCCCTCGGCTCTGCCCAGACCCTCCACCACAAGAGCTGCTACAAGGGTCGGTTCCAGCTCCTCTATGTGGCCTGTGGGTAAGAGGGCCTGGGGGTCCGGGGCTTCCCTCTGCAGACCTCCTCCCTCAGACCCAGGAGTCCAGGCCCCCAGCCCCTCCTCCCTCAACCCAGGAGTCCAGGCCCCCAGCCCCTCCTCCCTCAGACCCAGGAGTCCAGGCCCCCAGCCCCTCCTCCCTCAACAGGAGTCCAGGCCCCCAGCCCCTCCTCCCTCAGACCCAGGAGTCTAGGCCCCCAGCCCTCCTCCCTCAGACCCAGCGGTCCAGGCCCCCAGCCCCTCCTCCCTCAGGACCTCAGCCCTCTCTTGTTCTCTCTGCTCCAGGATGGTCCATCTTCTCAGCCCTGAGCTCGGGGCCTGCGTGGCCCCTGGGGGACGCCTGGTTGTGGAATTAGCCCGGTGAGTCCCTGGAGCGCAGGGCAGGGCACCAGGCTGGGGACCGAGAGCCGCCGGGCCCCCTACCACGCGGCTTCTCCATCTCAGGTACCTGGTGGACGTGCGGCCGGAGCAGCTGCAGGGATTCTCCGACCGGGTCGGGGAACTGGCTCAGGCAGCGGGGTTCGCCCCACAGCCCGGGGCCGGGCCATCCGAGACCTTCGTGCGCTTCTGCAAGTCCGGGGATTCAACTCCCGGAGGCCCTGCGGTGGAACCCGGGACTCCGCCCCCTGAAGCCCTGACTCCGCCCCCTGCAGCCCTGGCTCCGCCTCCTGATGTCCTGGCTCCGCCCCCCGAGGCAACAAACCCGCCCTCGGAGGGCCTGACCCAGCCCCTCCAAGGTCAAAGCCCCCCTGAACCCCTCAAACTGCCCCCAGAGTCTCAGGCTTCTTCACTCGAGGCTTTGGCTCCGCCCACAGGGAGTCAGACCCCCCAAACAGGAGAGTCTGAGGGGACCCTCAGAGACCACCTCCCCACCTAACTTCTCAAGTCCGGTCCTGGAGTTGGACCGGCCTCTGGGACACTCAGCTACACCCTCCACGTTCTCGCTCAGCCCCAGAGGTGTTGCCCGAATTTCAGACTCCATTTCTGAGATTCTATTGGGGCCTTGACTTACGAGTGTCCCGACTAACGAGTTTTTGAGATACCAGCTGTCTCTCCGCTGATTTTTTGCATTGAGTTGATAGAGTAATTTGAGTTAACGAGCTCCTTAACGAGCTCGGTCTCGGAACGAATGAAACTCGTAAGCCAAGGCCCCACTGTATTCTGTCCCTAGGTTTCTAGATGGTTCTCTCAGAGGTCCACACTCCACTCCCCGACACTCGAAACGCAGCCCCCGGAGACCGGGCCCTGGGTCTCAGGTGCTCTGCGGGGTCCCCAGGTGTCCCCTGCCTAAGCGGGGGTTGGGGATGTCTCCTCTCCCGCGGCTGCTCCGCACCCACGTTCCAAATAAAGTCAGCAGAGACTTCTCTCTGTGTCCCTGTGTCCCGTCCTCAGTCCGGCTCCAGGGCTGGGGGAGGGAGGGCCCAGGAGAGGTCAGGAGAGGACAGACAGCAGAGACCAGATTCCTGGTTTTCCAAGTGGAGGGGGAGTGGCTTTCCCAGTGCTGGGCCTGAGTGCCCCGCACCACGCACGTGGATCCTCAAATAAGTCAAACAATGTATTGCGTGGCAATGGCTTCCGGCACTGACACTCACCATCAGGTGATAGAAAAGATAGACAGGCTCTGCCCTCATGGAGGGTGCACTTTAGTGAGGGGCTGGGGCGCAGACTCCGGGTCTGAGGGAGGAGGGCTGGGGGCCTGGACTCCTGGGTCTGAGGGAGGAGGGGTTAGAGGCCTGGACTCC